TCTAGTCTAGCAGGAAAGTAGATGTCCTTTTTTAAAACACTTCCCTGTCCTGGATGATGAGAGCTAGACCAGAGTTGCCTGGTTCAGGCGCCAACTCTGGGTTTGGGGGGACGTTTGGTGGGTACGGGATGAGGGTGTGTGCGGAAATAACGCCACAAGAGAAGAGTGGCCTGTGTGTGTAATACTGCTGTCATGTCATCAGAGAACCCTTCCGACGCAGTCAGCAACGTGTAAACCAAAGCAGCAAAAACTACTCAAAGCAGCCTGCAAGCATGGCAAATTGTGTTTGCTTTGTACACCCCACAAACAGTTTCTGCCTATGCAATGATGGCTTGTCCCAGACATGGCCTCCCGATGTGGTAGAAATGGCTCGACTGTTGGTTTGCCACTTCTACTATTCGATGACATTTTAAGTTGAAGGTGAGCTTTTGCCCAGGTCATCTCCAGTCTTCTCCAGCCATGGTGGAGCTGCGCCAGACAAAGGATAGACAGTGCATCTGTATTTTTAGCCTTTTCCACAACCAGCCACACAGTATCATCTGAGTCAGCAACAGGGTAATCTGAATCTGAGGCCAAGATGACTCAGATGACCAGCTGAGGAGCTGGTCGGCCTGGACACTAATGCTTAACACTGGCATTAGAGCCGGGTTCTCAGCCTCAGCACTACTGACAGTTTGGGCAGGATAATTCTCTGTCGTGGGGGGACTGACCCCCACATTTGTCATGTTCAGCAGCGTCCCTGCCCTCCACGCACTAGGTGCCAGTAGCTGTCTTCACCCCCCAGGCTGACAACCCAAGTGTCTCCAGACATTGCCAAATGTGCCCCTGTGAGATAAAATTGCCTTGTGAGATAAAACTGCTTTAAAGTATGGTCTTGAAAAAGGATGGGATATTATCCAAATGTAAATATTAGGTTTTTTTTTTTTTTTAGCGAACTGAAAATTCAAATTTCTTAACGTTATGAAAAGAGAGAAATTCTCGTCCTGAAAAAATAACTGAGGCATGCAAAAATCATTTTTGTTTATATATTTTATATGTATCTATATAATTTTTACCTTGCAGAAAATAGCTTAGTGGTGAGAAGCACAGAATTTGGAATCAGACAGCCTGGGCAAGAATCTCATCTGTGCCTTTTACCACTGTGTGCTCTCAAGCAAGTCACTGTCCCGTTCTGTCCAGAGTCTTCTTAAGATGGGGGTAATAATAGTACCTACTTTGTAGAGTTTAATGAAGATTAATGTATTAAAATATGTAAATCACTCAGGACAATGCTTGGACATGTAGGCACAATCTCAATGTAACTATTGCTTTTCCCAGGCTAGTCACATTGCACAGCAATAGATAATCAATTTGTATTCATTCATCCTCTTAACAATAATAATAATATCATATATTGACCATCTGCTGTTGTTAAGGCAGTGTTCTAGGTGTTTTATAAGTACTCTCCCTAAACCTAACAACAATTTTATCAAGATAATATTTTTACTGTCATTTTACACCCAGATCTATCCTTCATCTTATACGATGCTGCCTCAACTGTCCCAACCTAGAGCAAGGCTTGGCAAACTACAGCCATCAGCCCAGATCCAGCCCACTGTCTGTTATCGTGGCCTGCAAGCTAAGAATGGTTTTTGCACTTTTAAAGGGTTGAAATAAAATTTTTTAAAAATAAAAATACTTTGCGACACATGAAAATTATATGAAATTTAGATTTCAGTGTCTATAAATAAATTTTTATTTGGACACAGTTGAACTCATTTATTTACCTATATGGTCTGGCTGTTTTTCAACAGTAGAGTTGATTAGTAGCGGTAGAGACTGTCCGGTCCACAAAGCCTTAGAAATTAACTCTCTGGTGCTCACTTCAGCAGCACATTATACTAAAACTGGAAAAATACAGAGATTAGCGTGGGCCCTGCACGAGGGTGACTCACAAATTTGTGAAGTGTTCCATTAAAAAAATAAATAAAAAAATAAACTATCTGGCTCTTTGTAGACTCCTGATATAGGGCATAAAAGAAATCAGTAGAAGTAATAATATCAAGAATTATCTGTTGGGCTACCCAGTGCCTGCCAGCTGCAAAAACAAAAAAAACAAGAACTATCTATCACCTTTACAAG